CATTACCCACTCTGTTCCCTCTTTTTTAATTAAATCTCTATATGGCAACCAGTCTCTACCTCGCTGTCTTGAGTAAGATATCAACACTTCTACTGGTACAATCCACAATGGTCTTAAGTCACTCTGGTACTTCTTATATCTTGTCCATACCATATACAAAGCTTTTCTCACCAAGTGAAGTTTAAAAAAACTGTCCATTTTTATCTTGTCATACCATAAATATGCATGCCAGCCAAATCTACAATCATGCCCTTCCAACCCCAACAATCTGTCATTTTCAAGCTTCACCCATTGATCCATCCATGTTAGACAAACCGCTTCATAATATAGTCTAAGATTTGGCATTTGTAGACCTCCTCTTTCTTTGGCATCACAAAGTATTTTCATTTTGATCCTTGGTTTCTTGCCTGCCCAAACAAATTTTGACAACTCTTGTTGCCACTTGGCCAACAAATCCGTTTTATGCAGAATTGGTATTGTTTGGAACAGGAACATCAAACGTGGTAGGACATTCATTTTTATAACTGATATTCTTCCCATCAGTGATAAGTTCATTTTATCCCATTTCTTAAAATCTTGAGTCAGCTTAGTCCATAATTTCTCATAATTATTCTTATATAGGTCTATATTTTTTGCCGTTAATTCAATTCCAAGGTATTTTGTTTTTTTAACTACTTCACATTGTACCAGTTCTTGTAGTTCCACTTGTTTTTGTTTGATCATGTTTTTACATATAAGTTTTGTTTTATTCTTATTTACGTAAAAGCCGGCCAATTCTCCAAACTCCTTTATTTTTTGAAAAAGCAATGTCAATTTTTCTGTTGGGTTTTCCACCATAAACATTACATCGTCTGCAAATGCTCGATATTTGTATTGGTGTCCTTTATGTGTCAAGCCCTTTATTTCTTGATCGTACTGTATTTTTTGTAAAAGTATTTCCAATACCCAGATAAATAATAACGGTGATAACGGACAACCTTGCCTTGTTCCTTTCTGTACTTTGAAGTTATCTGTCAGTTCTTTATTCACATTTATTTTAGCTCTTTGTTCAGAATAGATAGCTTCAATACAATTTCTAAAATGTTGTCCCGCTTCAATCTTTTCCATCATCTGGTGCATAAAATTCCAATTAAGATTGTCAAAAGCTTTTTCTGCATCAACAAACAGAAAAGCTACTTCTTTTTCTGGGTGCTTTTCATAATATTCAATTGCGTCCATTACTATTCTTACATTGTCTCTAATCTGCCTTTTGGGTAAAAAGCCCGCTTGATCTTCAGAAATTACCGTTTGTAAATAGTTTTTCACCCTTTCTGCAATAATTTTTGCAAAGATTTTATAATCGTTGTTCAAAAGAGATATTGGCCTGTAGTTCTTTACATTTGTTGAATCTTGTCCTTCCTTTGGAATCAAAGAAATAATTGCTTCTTTCCATGAGTCCGGCACCTTTTTGTTTTCTCTTATTTCGTTGGTTAAAGCTTCCAGGACCGGGGAAATTTCTTCTTTCATCTTTTTGTAGAATTTCGCTGTAAATCCGTCCGGCCCAGGCGCCTTCCCCAACTTTGTCTCTTCTATTGCCTTCATCACTTCTTCTTTTTGAATTGGACCATTTAATAAATCTTTGTATTCCTTACTTATTTTTGGTAGTGGAATCTCCTTTAAATATGTTTTAATCTTCTCAAGATCAACTCTAGTTGTTTGGAATAGTTTAGCATAATACTTGAAGAAACATCTCTTTATTCCATTAGGATCAACGAACTCTTTTCCATCTTCTATTATTTTGGTTATCATTCTTCTCTCTCTTCTAGCCTTAAGTTGCCAAGCTAAGTATTTTCCCGGTTTGTTCGCCCCTTCAAAAGATTTCTGTTGTAACTTCTTTAAATTCCAATACATTTCCTGATTCCAAGTCTCATTCAGTTGTTCCTTCAGCAACTTTAATTCTTTAATAATTTGCTTTTTTCCAGGCTTCTTTTTTAATTCCTTTTCTTTCTGAGCAATTTTTTCTAACACTTCTGTTTGTTTTTGAAGTTTTTCCTTTTTTTGCTTCACGTTTTGCGAGATGAGAATTCCTCTCATCACCGCTTTATAAGCATCCCATACAATCTGTATCGGTGTTTCTTTATTTAAATTTTGTTGAAAGAATTGTTTCGTTTCTTCCTTTAACATCTCAATTACCGTTTTCTTATCCAACAAGTCTTCATTAATCCTCCACAGAAAGGGTTTTTTCCTTTCTGTGGAACTCCATACCACCGGATTGTGATCTGAATTACATCTTGGCAAAATTTCAGTCTTATGTGTTTTCATTGATAATTCTTCAGACATCCAAATCATATCAATTCTGGAAAAAGAGCAATGTCTATTGGAATAAAAAGTAAAGTCTTTCTGCATCGGGTTCCATTTCCTCCAAACATCTTCTAATTTTTCTTGCTTAACTAATTCAAAAAAATTCTTTGGCAATTTTCCGCTGAATTCGTTGTCCTTTTGTGGTTTTCTGTCTAGACGATCTATTGTCCCATTAAAGTCTCCGGCCATAATAACTTGCTCATAAGTCAATTGTTGTAATTGGTCAGTTATATCCTTAAAAAATTTTTCCTTTGCTCCATTGGGTGCGTACACGTTGATCAACAATGTTTTTTTCTGCTGAATCATTAATTCCACACCCACGTATCTGCCATCTATGTCCTTAAAAATTTCTGTAGGTTGTAACTCCTTCTTCACATATGTCACAACTCCTTTTTTCTTGTTTGAGGCCGCAGAACAAAATTCAATTCCAAATAAAGCATTCTTTAAATATTTTATATCCTGTTTTCTAATATGTGTTTCTTGCAAGCATATCACGTTGCATTTCTGTTTCTGTATCCAATGATTGATTCTTTTCCTCTTGTTTGGTGAATTTAATCCATTAACATTCCATGACAACAATTTGTACTCCATTATGCGTTTTATTTTAAAGTTCTCCAAAGACGTCCGCATTGTCCGCCTTAAATTTATAAAAGTCCATCATCGATCTGATCTGAATCCTCCCACCTTGATACGTAAAGGATAAACCTTGTGGAATCTCCCATCTATATCTGATGCTCAAAGCTCTGAGTTTGTCCGCCAAGGATTTATACCTTTTCCTGTCTTGCAGTATTGTTCTTGGGAGTTCTCTCATCACCATAATTTTGTTTCCCTCTATTACAAAAGGGACGTTGAATTGCTTCTTGAATATCTCCTCTGTTATTGATCTTGTTACAAATTGTACAATTACATCCCTTGGTAAATTCTTCTTTTCTGCAATTCTGGAGTTCACTCTATAAATCAAATCAAAGTCTGAGTCCATTGACCCTTCCTCCTCGCCCAGAAAAGCCGTTATCACTTCCATCATTTTTTCTTTTAAGTTCTCATTCTCTGTTTCCTTAATGCCTCTGAATCTCAGATGAGTCTGCATCCTTCTGAACTCCATCATTGTCTCTGATCTTGTAATTTGTTGAGTCAAAGAATCTTGTTTCTCTTCTATTTTTTGTATCTTCTCCTCTGTCTCTGTAGTCTTGGTTGCATTTGCTTGAACATCCTTCTTAACTCCTTCCATTTCTTGCTTGATTGAAGTTATTTCTGTAGTAACCAATTCCTTCAATGCTGTTATGTTCTTCTCTTGGACTTCTTCTAGATGTTTCAGATGAATCTGAGTTTGCTTCTCCAGTTGGTCCCCCAATGTTTTTTCTATCTGCTCCCCCATGGCTTGTATTGCCTCTGTCATTCTCTTCTCCATTGCTTCCATGGAGGCAAGCGTTTTTACAGTTTTTAAAGGCTTCAATCAACTTTTTTCTCTCCGGAATCGGATTTCTGGGATTTACTATTCATTTTCCGCTCAACCGCTTAATTCAAATTGACTCCAAACTCAGTTCAGGTAAGCGGCACGTTTTTGTTATCTAGCACGTTCAAAACGGGTTTCGCATTGTTTCTTTTAACTCACAGTTGTTGTCCTTCTTCAAAGAAGTCTGCTGACGAAGAATTTATGCCGGTAATCCGGCTCGATCGGCCACTATAGAGTTGCTTGGCACTTGCCTTCTTCGTGGGAGGAGGTCAAAGCCCAATTCAGCTTCTTCCGAAGCTGGATTACGCCAACCTCACACTCCCTCTAGGGCGCTGCTGCCTGCTTGTCCCCCCCCCTCGCTGGGGAGTGATGCGTTGGGCTGTATATTGCCCAAACTGTCAAAAGTGGCCGTCGCTCGCTTCGCACGATTGCGAAACGCTTCAGTCCTCCATCTTAGCTAGACCGGAAGCCAGCAATGCATATCTCCATTCTTGGTGACCCCAAGCAGAGGGAGGATTTTGGAGAGAGTAATTTAATCCTGGGGTGGTGGCAGATTCCATACCACAATGTCCCCAATATCTCAGAAAGAGTTTTGGGGAGAACAGGGAGGAATCCCTTGAGAGATGTGTTGGGCACCTCTTGGCCCCCTGCTGTCTGGAAGCAAGAGCTGAAGAAGGAGGGGGAATCCCTGCTTGGAGTCATGATAAGATTGGACCATGACATTGGTGTCTAAAGGGAACCTTCAGTGGAAGTAAGCTTCTGAATACCAGTGTCAGGAGGCAACATCAGAGGGAAGGTCTTGGCCCTTATACCTTGTCCATTGGCTGTCCTGAGCAACTGGTTGGCCAGTGTGTGAAACAGGTTGCGAGACTAGATGGACCACTGATCTGATCCAGCAGGCCTGTTCTTATGACCATCTCATCCAATGCGACTTCCTGTGTTCCCAATATTTACAGTTGCATGGCAATTAAGATATGAGGGTACTTCTGGATGCTTTCAGAAGAACAGTCCTTGCCGTAGAGACATCGGGAAGGCCATCTGTGGTATTAATGGCTTTTGCTAGAGCTAGACATGAGTGCGCTCCCCCCTCCCCCCACCCCTTTGTTTTTCAGATCTTTCTTTTGCTCAATATTGTAAAGAGCTCTCAGGGTCACTATGCACACCAGTAATTAAATCCAGCCATTCTTCTTTTCTCCCAATGGCACAGCTGGCAGAGCGGCTGAAACTCTCAGACCCACGGCTGCTGGAGAGGCCCGAACAAGATGCTTCTTTAGAACCAGATTGGCTCATGCAGCTCCGAGCCCTACATCAGCAGAGCGAGGTGAGAATTCTGGGTTTGCCCCTTATGTTTATTTCATTGTCTCGGAATATCTGTCGCCTGCCTATCTGCAAAGGGACTCCAGTGTGCTGATGCATTGGCTACTCTGAATAAACAGACGGGGTAATCCAGTGTGCCAAAGGAACAGATTCTGGCTGGAAATGCATCCCATTTAAATTAAACAAAGTAAGCAGTCTTGGCTTATTTTTACAAGGGCTGTAACCGGGGGTCATTTCGTAGAAAAAGAGGTGCAGGAGATCTTTAGCATAACTCATTAGCATAACTTATTTGCCACACCCCCTGACATCACCGGAAGTGTGTCAGAAGGCAACACCCACCGCTCAGGCTCCACTGGACTGTTTTGGATTGCTAGCTATTGGGGGGGGGGATGTGCAGATCTGACCTCGCAGAGGAGGGAGAGCTTGTACATGAAGGCGGGCCGGCAGGGGGCTCTGCAACTTACCTGGCTGCTTCTTGCTCCTCGTGGCCCGACTGAGGGCTTCTGGGAGCAGGGGGCAGGGCTTGTTGCATGTGCCCATCCCCTGGGCTCTTACTGCCGGAGCTCCGCTCCTGTGCGCTCCCGCAGGAAATGACCCCTGGCTGTAACACTAGGGTACCCAGCTCTGGGTTGAAAAATACTTGGACATTTTGGGGGTGGAGCCTGGGGAGGGTGGAGTTTGGGAAGGGGAGGGTCTTCAGCTGGGTGCAGTGCCTTAGACTCCACCCTCCAAAGTAGCCATTTTCTCCAGGGGAACTGACCACTATTGTCTGGAGATCAGTTGTAATAGTGGGAGCTCCAGGCCCCACCTAGAGTCTGGCAACCTGAGGCTGCAGCTCTTGCTTGGAGAACTCCTGGAGGTTTGGGGGCAGTGCTGGGGAAGGCTGGGGTTTGGGGAGGGGGCTCAGTGGGAGTGAGGCCATGAAGTCTGCCCTCCGACGCTGCCATTTCCTCCAGGGGGATTCATCTCTGTAGTCAGGAGGAGCTGTCATTTCAGGAGAATGCCAGGCCCAGTGCTGAACTTGGCAACCATGCCAATTTAAGATTGGGCGAGACTGAACCATTACCTGCTTCTTGATTTGTTTGATTACTGTATAACATAGTGGGGATTTCAACCTGATGGACAAATGTGGTTTTGTTCTCCCCGGGGACACTCCTGGATCAGGTGGGGAGGCATGTCCTGAGGTTCCATGCATGCCAGGCAGACATGAGCCCAGTTTAGATTGGGGCCATAGGATGTGGAGAGAGGGGGCTCAGGCTTTCCCCCAACCCGAAACAGCCCTGAAGAAGAGTTGGGTTTTATATATGGCTTTTTTCTACCCTAAGAAGTCTCAGGGTGGCTTACAATTGCCTTCCCTTCCTCTCCCCACAACAGGCACCTTGTGAGGTGAGTGGGGCCGAGGGAATTCTGAGAGAACTGCAACTGACCCAAGGTCACCCAGCAGGTTTCATGGGGAGGAGGGGTGGGGAATCAACGGGTTTAAATTACATGCAGAAATTACATGTGGGTTTAAATCACATGCAGAAAGGTATCGGCTGGATATTAGGAAAAACGTTTTCACCGTCAGAGTAGTTCAAAGCTGGAATCAGCTGCCTAGAGAGGTGGTGAGCTCCCCTTCACTGACAGCTTTCAAGAAGAGGCTGGACGAATATTTGTCAGAGATGCTTTAGGCTGGTCCTGCATTGGGCAGGGGGTTGGACTAGATGGCCTGTATGGCCCCTTCTGACTCCATGATTCTATGAATCATGATTCTATGAATCAGATTGGTTCTGCAGATTAGAGTCTGCTGCTCTTAATAAGAAGAAGAGTTGGTTTTTATACTCTGCTTTTCTCTACACTAAGGCGTTTGAGAGCGGCTTCCTCTCCTCACAAGAGGCAACTTGTAAGGTAGGCAGGGCTGAGAGAGTTCTGAGAGAACTGACTGGCCCAAGGTCACCCAACAGGCCTTATGTGGAGGAATGGGGAATGAAACCCAGTCCTCCAGATTAGAGTCTGCTGCTCTTAACCGCTACACCAAACTGACTCTCCCAGGGGAGGAGGGACCATTTGCTCTGTTGGGGGTTGTACCTGTACTGTACTATACATTACATTTCCATCATGGGTCAAATAGCACCCCCCTGGGCCTTTTCAGGCTGGGAAGACTGCATGGGGTAGGAAACGTTAAGCTCCCCGTATCCACATGCTGTAGTTACGATCTGAACTGGGCCCACGTGTGCCTGGGAAGTATGGAACTCAAGAATACACTTTTGCACTTCACCCGAGACTATCTCCTGGGGAGAATGTTGGTGGGTAGCTAATTTTCTTCCCTCTGATCACTAGACCACAATGGCAACCTCAACAATTGCCCTGTATGGCAATGAGCAGGCAACAAAGTGGTACTCAGTTCAGAGGGTGTCGTTCATTCATTCAGCACTCTCAGAAACAGAAAACCTTTATTCGGCATAACACAGATAAATCAAACAAAGGAAAAAGTTAAAGGGTAGGTACAAGGAACAAATTCAGCACTCTGTGCTTTTCTGACAAGCAGATAACCCCTCCCTCAAATAAATCCTAACAAAGTTTGCATTCACCGTGTCTTAACAGTGATTATTCCATAGCCTCATCTGTGGTTCGCTCCAGGTATGACTTTCATCAGCTTGCCCTACAGGCTACTCTGCTTGGCTGCAGGATTTGTGTAACTTGTTTTTCCCCTCCCCCTCCCCTCTCATCTATTGATTGATTTAAGGAGGAAGGGAGTCTTCCTGGTGCTCCTTCCACCCAGCTGGAGCGTGTAGGAAACAGTGGATCGATACCAGGTAAGGGAGCAAAGGTGCCAAAATGGTGTTTTGTTAGCAGAAGGCGATGTTCTCAGGTGCCTCAGATGATGTTAAGAGAAGATTTCCCTTCAAAGGCTTTGCCGCAGTCCTGTACACACTTCCATGGGAAGGAGTCCCGTGGAACTCTGGAGGCCTTACTTTTTAGTAGACAAGCATAGGTTCAGTCTCCAAATGGATCACATTGTATTAAAAAGGGATTAGTCCTTGGCTGCCTCTCAAAGCCTTGTTCTTTTCCTCCATAAAGTGGAAGGGATCTGACTACGTGAGTTCTTTCATGTAGGGCTGCTATGCACAAAATCCATAACCCGGCCTTACTGAAAAGCTGTGGAACACTACATGCTCGTGTTTGCAGCCCAATTCTGTGTACATTTACTCTGAAGTAACCCGCAGTGACCTGGATGGCTCAGGCTAGCCCAGTCTCATCAGATCTCGAAAGCTAAGCAGTGTCACATCTGGATGGGAGACCACCAAGGGAGTCCAGGGCTGCTGTGCGGAACCAGGCGACGGCCAACCACCTCTGTTTGTCTCTTGCCTTGAAAACCCCTACGGGGTCACTACAATTCGGCTGTGACTTGACTGCATTTTACATACACAGTCCTCCGCGAATTCAGTGGGGCATACTCTCAAGTCAGTGTGCAAAGGATTGCAGCCTTAGTCAGACGAGTGGTCCTTCTAGCTGGATGTTTTTAACTGCCCTATTCAAATTCTAGGTAATTGTGAAGGTTTCAACAGTGTAAGGTCCTAATACGGTACCTTTCGTTCCCAGTTGCTTACTCCCAGTCACTTCATGTTAAAAAAATATATATGTTTGGGGTTGGATTCCACTGCATGCTCAAGGGAGGGGATTTTTTGCCAATTTCCCAGTCCTGTGACAGACCTTCAGTTCTCCCCTCCTGTGATGATCTGACCCTCCTTGGTCAGCTGGAAGCAGTATTGGGGGGGGGGGCAAGTAGGAGAGGAGAAGCAGAGGAGCTGTGTTCCCCTGACAGAAATCTATACGCCAACCGAGATTTTCTGCAGGATCCAAGCCTTGGAATGGATGCCAATAAGTATCTCGCATCTGTTTCTATTGTGTAAAGCTATCGAAAAGTTTGTATACCATAATGGATCCTCCGTGTTCAGATGCTGTAAACCTTTTTAGTGGCAGATGCCAAAATAATAGGGGTAAGCATTGCTTATGCACAGCTTGTGAGTTTCTAGAGGTTGCCCTTTGTTGGAAACAGAATTCAAGCCTAAGGGGCCAAATGACACCATATAACCCCACACACACACACACAATTTGGTGCTTGCAGGGAGGTGTTTGCATAACTTTAGGGCTTTATGTGCTCAGAATAGTCCATGTGCAGCTCCAAAGCTATACAAATAACTTCCTACTGGGGCCATTTCAGCTTGGGGAAAACAGTGTGGTGGTGGTCGGGAAGCCCCTCTTCCCCCCTTGCTCCAGTTCTGAGTTGAATCAGGCTCCCGCTGATTTTCTAAAAAGACATTCCCCACAGCTGCTGTGTGGCTGCAGGGAGAGTCAGTCATGTCTTGTATTGTGTAGTTTGGTCCTAAGTGTGTTTTTCTTTTATGATCCAGTTCCCATGTCCTTATTTAATAGCTGTCGATATTGCTGTTCAAAATGAGAGCTTGTTTGCTGTGTTGATTGCCGCATAATTCCCCCTCCCCCCAAAAATGTGAGCAGCATTAATGAAAGGCTCCGATGTTCAAAGGCAGGGCATGTTACCTGCTTGGCCCACTTTTGGGGGTTCTTGGCATAATACTGTACCCATACCCATTATCTGAGCCCACCCCCACCCCACCTTTTGCTGCTAGGTTGTTTCTTGCCAAGCAGTCCTCAAATTCTGGAGAGGCTCAAATATCACGTTAAGAAGTGAGCAGGTTTGAGCTGGTTTGTGCTGTAGGTGTAGAAAAGGGACACTAATTCAGCAAGGCTGATTTCCATTATGGAAATTGCATTTCTACTGTGGCGTGCAGTTTCCTCAAACACGTCTTCTCTGATTCTGTGTGATTTACTTTCCAAGGGCAGTGGGGGATTTGTCAATGGCTAGATGTAATCTCTTGTACAAACTAGCCAGGGGGTTATTTGTGAATATAATATATGCATGCATGCACACGATATATGCGTGAATGCACAGTCTACTGAAACCAAAGGGCAGCACCCGTAACTAGATCCAGATTTGTATCCAATTGTAAACAGTTGTTAACATCTGCATCTGGATGCATATTAGATGCACATGCAATTTACATCCATGGTTCCTAAAGCAAGGATATCCAAGTCTCTCAGCCACATTTCAATGGATGGTTGAAGACGGAAAATAATACCGTGGAAGGGGCAAAGTTTCATACATGCTTTCTCATTTCATTTGTCTCTCACACTCCTTCTAAGGAGCTCATAACAGTAGCAGAGAAATAAGGACTTACACAAAGTCACCCAAGCTTCAACGCTTAGGAGTAATTGGAAGCTTGTTTTTTCCCAGAGGGTTGCCAACAGGCCTGGAGAAAAAAATGTCTTGCCCCTTTAACTCAGGTTCAGTGGGACGTTATTTACCATGTGATATCCTTTACTCTTGTGCCATGAAAAGTTTCAGGTGTTCATAACCACACGTTAAACCTCTATTCCAAGGAGAGGACATTTGTCCTCCAGGACAGGTGAGAACCCTGCTTTCACACCCTAGTCCACAGCAATCAGACTGTTATTTTTGAGGCAGTGCATGCAAAATCCGGGGCTTGGGTACTTCTAGCTAAGGGCTGGAGGAGGAGGAATTCATACCCCACCCTTCATAACCCAAAGAAGTCTTAGAGCGGCTTACAATCCCCTTTCCCTTCCCACAACAGACACCCTGTGAGGTAGGTGGGGCTGAGAGAGCTCTTTTGAGAGCTGCTCCTGAGAGAACAGCTGTGAAAGTATACCAGTGAGTTCACTGAATGTCTAATAAACCTATGTTGGTCTCTCTAATCTGCTGTTCTTCAGGATCCACTTCTTGCTGATACTTTTTTTCCAAGCAGAAAAAGCCCCCTCAACCCTCTTACCATACTTAACACCTTCCTGTAGGCCGTGGAGTATTTTTTTGGTGTGAATGGAGATAACCGATTGCTATGCTTCTTGGTCGATCAGTTATGACCACTGCCTGCACATACACACCAGTTAAGTGTCCCACTGAATTAAATGAGATTTACTGCTGAGCAAAGCCACTTGAAATTGCACAGGTGTGATCCTGGCGGGGTGGAGTCGGAGTTATGAGCTTGGGCATGGGTTCCCATCCCAGGCCATTCATGGGTTTACCTGTCGACCCTGGTTTCAGGTGATTAGATCTCATTCTCAGTATTCTGAAAATGGGGAATAATACTGGCCTTTCCCCACCAAATTCCAGGTGTGGCTCCCCATTCTGAGCATGAACAGAATCAAGGCTGTTTGGAGGATCCAGGGCAACATCCTTCTAATCACCTGCCACTCCTGCACTCAGCTCAGTACCAGCCTGGCTTGGACCAGAGATTGCAGTTCCATCCTGGGTCTGACCATCCTGTAAATACCACTGTTGCCAGCATGGAGAGTGATCCGCCGGGGATTAGTCAAGGTTCCTTTTCTTCTCCAGGAGGACTTCCCGATGACCTCTCCTCAAATCAACACCAGCCATCAGGTAAAGAGGCCTCTCACAATGATCCAGGGCAGTTTGTGTGTTGGTTATCATTACCTGGTCTCAATCTGGAGAGTATTTATTATTAATTAATTTGATTTTTACCCTGCCGAGGCGGGCTCAGGGCGGCTTACAAAGAAAACAACAAATAAAACAATATAAAATACACAAAGTTATTAAAACCATTAGTATGATGATGGTGTTGCAACTGTAATAAAGTGCACATACCTCCACTACTGACGGGCTCAGGCTGGAAAAAAAAGCTGGCACAGGGCAAGGATGAGGCTCCTTATCTAAATGCCTGATGGAAGAGGTCCATTTTTGCAGCCCTGCGGAACTGTGAGAGGTCCCGCAGGGCCCTGATCTCATCTGGAAGCTCATTCCAGTAAGTTGAAGCTGCCACTGAAAAAGCCCTGGACCTGGTCGATACCAGCCTGGCGTCCTTGAGACCGGGGTGGGGGGGCCGGCGATTTTGCAACCCGGAACCTCAGTGCTCTCTGGGGAACATGTGGGGAAAGGCGGCCCCTCAGGTAGGCAGGTCCCTGACCATAAAGGGCGGTGACGCGGCGGTAGCAAGCGGCAGCAGCAGGACCAAAGGAGTGATCCCCCGTGGCCAGCGGCAGGAACAGCGGGTGGCTGTCGTGCAGCGAAGGCGCGCAGTGACGTCATCCACGGGCACGGCGGAGCCGGAGGGACGCAGCTGGGACTGAAGGAGGACATTGAGTGCGCGCCGGACCGCCAAGCACCAGAAGAAACATCCAGCCAGAAGACTGCTGGGAATAGAGCCAGCCGGACCGAAGGACATCAGCCTCCACCTGGGTGCCGGTAGGCTGTCCCACTCCCCAGAACAATGTGGCCTAAGTTAGGGGATAACGTGATTAGCACCTCCCTACAGCACGGGCTGGTGTGGTCTCGCATAGGGAGACCCATCAGCAGCCTGGCCACCCGCACTTTGCACCAGCTGCAGCCTCCAGAGTTGCGGCAAGGGCAGTCCCATGTAGAGAGCATTGCGGTAGTCTAACTTCGAGGTGACCATTGCATGGATCACTGTTGTCTAGAAGTTCCTGGATGATGGGGTGGGGGGTGATGAGGCAGTTGGGCCTTGTCTCTCCCCCCCCCCCAAGTTCTGTTCTCTGCTCTTTTTCCTGCCCCCTGTGTGGCATAGCATACTATAGGAGGAGAGAAGAAGGTCGACAACTGAATAGGTGGGAGAAGTCATACTTGCCTCATCCCCTATGCGAGAGGGAACTTCCACAGGGCAGTAACCTATGCCTGTGTGGGTAATTTACACGTGAAAGGATAGTCCAATAAAGGCAGCCAGGACCAACTTTCCACTGCCAC